ATGTGGCAGTGTCATAAGCAATTTTGTGCAAAGAGTGCGTGTCACCAGAGTTGTGAGACACTATCTTCCACAGACAAAAATGACTTACCACTGAAATGGGTTGTAATTTTACTTTATATTGAATTAAAAACATTCACAGTTGTTCAATAAATGATGTATTTAATTCCACAATTAAATCCAGCACTATTAATGGGACATCCTATATATCTTGAAATATACCAGCAAAGAGCACAATTTCTTATTATTTTATATTTATTGAGGTTAATTATATATTTTAATAATTACTGTAAAGAAAAATTTACTAAGATTATACTGGATGACTACCAATTCGGTTAATAATTTCTCTCTGGAAAGGCACTTTATTATTAGAAACTACACAAGGATAACATTATCAAGAGTTTTCAAATATAAAGTGATCAGTGATAGAAAAAAATAAATATAAAGTTATATCTATAAATAAAATCTTTGAAAATTAGATTAATGAAAAATAAATGATAGAAAGCTTCGAGAAAAAAAATGTAGGAATTGAAAATTATCATTTTTTCTATTAATAAATAGTAATATAATAAATTAATACTGATTTTTTTTATAAATAGTTTTACTTATTTATATAAAAATGAAACAGAAATCATCAAAGAATAAATTATTTCCAAAATATCCATCCTTAACAACGTTTTCGTAATGAGAACACACCCAAAAAATTCAATCCTTCATTCCAATATAATTAAAACAACAGATGGATTTTACAAGAAGCTATTTTATATTTATCTTAATAAATATGGAATTTTCAAATAAACCAACAATAATAAAGTTCAGAAGGTAGATCATATTATTCTGAGATTTTAAATATCAGGTAATATACATAACGAAATATTTTTATTATAACAATAAAAATTCAAATATAAACAGAAGCTCTTATTTCGTTTTCTTTAAAAAAAAAATTTCATTTTTAAATTTACTAACCAAATATAAACATGTCCAAAATTTAAAGACAAACACAATTGCTGGTGAAGATAGGTAGAAAAAGTCACTGAGCCAGTCGGTAACGAGCCCACCGTGATGCTGTGTGCTGCATCAGTTTGAGGTGAACATATTTCATACAAACAGATCCATCTTTCCATCAATTCTCCACCTTTCTCCAACTTCTGTATTTATCTTTCTCACCAAAGACTTATTTTTTATTGCTTTGATTTTTAAAATGCTACAAGTTGTTGTGTATTACCCTGTGTTTAGCATCAAGTTCTTGTCACATTTGTCTGCATTCATCTACATTTCTCTTGATTCATGTACAGTACAAATGTCCATCCTTAAGTTTTGGACATGCTTTAAAACATCCAAGATTCAAGCAGAATTATGGATATTCTTATAATTTATTTTAGAGCTCATCGAATACACTTTGAAATAACAAAATAATTACGATGCATCAATTTGAAATTTTGTGTATTGTATTTTATCATATTATGATAATCTACAGTAAGATCAAATTTGCTAATACTGATGTAAACATAATATAAAACGTCATACAGGTGAATAAGCTATTAGTCACAAAGTGATATGTACCGATAAATGATCAACAAATTGATAAATTGCACAAGTAACTTGCAGAAGTGCAATTGAAATTTGAGTTTAAGAATTACATGAAATTCTTAAACTCAAATTTTTCTAAGCATTGGATTTATCTAATAATCTATTACAGAAGATAATATACTTCTTTACAGAATATATCAGTATACAATGTTACACCTATAATTGATAATATATTTTATTTTGAAGTATAAGAGCTCGCTTTCTCTCATTTATTTCTCAAATTAAAATTTATTCAGAAATTCCAATTAACTTCTGAAGAATAGAATAGCATTTTCAAGACTTAAGCACTTTAAATAATATAAAATTTTGCATAAAGTAAAATACATAAAAATGGACTTGTAAGAAAAAAGTAAGTTTAAAATTTGTAATAAAAAATTAATAAAAATTATTTTTAACTGATTTTGTCAGAAGATTATCAGAGTGGATGTTTTTCTTCATTTTATAATAAGCTCTGTGTTATTAATGACAACATTTTATTTTGTTTTAAATAATAAAAATTTTCCAAAACTGATGTATGAAAAGATTAATTTTATGCTTAAAATATTATCTAAAATCTAATCATCACAATTAAATTTCTATATATTCTTCACAATTTCTATATAACAATAAAATACAAAATGACATATAACATTATGGCACATTCGGCAGTAAATTTTAACAAAATGGCATCAACGTATACCATATTCATTGCAGCACCCCATTCTTGAAATTTTTCAATATTAGAATCAACAACTAATTACCCATGGAATAAATGAACGAGTGAAAAAATTCATTCATATATTTTCAAATCAAAACAATGAGAAATGAAGAAATGATAGAAAATTCAAATATTTGCTAAATCATTGATAAAATGTTCTTATAAATGATTACAAAAATAAGACAGTTATGCATTTTCTAGAAAGAAAATCTGAGACAACACTAAATCAAAACATAAACTGAATGCTTTTCAGATAAATCTGATCCAGATCCTTTTCTAAACTTGGAACTTTATATACGAGATGATTAAAAGCTCAAGAATGACAATCTCCAACATCAGAGAGCATTATTCCTGATCTTCCAGAACTCTAGATGCAGAATTCCATAAGACTAAGTGATGGAATATAAAGGCAGAATGAATAAGAATTATTAGAGATTTGCAAAGTAAAAAATAATATATTGAATTCTTTTAAATAAACATGAATTTCCTTCTTATTTCAAGTCTTTTCATTCTTATATATATTAACTATTTTTAAAATACATTAATATCTTATCATCCAATCACTTATAAGAATACTTCAACTTAATTTAACTAAATTCAATCAGATTTTAAATCTAACCTTCATTTCTATACGTAAAAATGTTAATTTCAAAGATAAATGCTTTTTCAGTTAAATAAAAATTTCTAATATTGCAATGGCATTGATGATAATGTGTGATGACACCTACTAATGTATGCAAGAATGACAAACCTTGTTCTAGAATATATAAAAAATATTTACTGCCTGTTTAATTAATTATTGTTTACAGAGACTGGATCATTAACTGTCAAAATTCTACGTTCAATTTTCAAATAAATGTTATTCCTAATCTTCCAAAACTCAAAGCACTGATTTATTAATCCAGATCAGTTAGTATTTTATTAATACTGACAAACACTTTATTTCAAAATTTCAACCTTACTCTCCTATCTGACTTATAACAGAACAAAAAATCATATACTATTAAAAACTAACTAAGACATTTTCAAATAATTTAAAGTAAGACTAAACAGTTTTATCAACAAATTAATTTGAATAACAGGAAGCAAAGATAAATATTTATGTCTATTAATTTCAATTAAACTTTTATCTCATCGTCTCCAAAGTCTCAAATGAGTTGACTGACTGCTTTAGCTACTTTCCTATGAAATATTAAAAAAATTGTCAATTGATTACAAAAGATCAAGCTAGAATTATTACTTTAATATTCAATTTTCCGACATCAGAAGATATTTTTGCAGAAACAGGAATATCCGAAAAAGTAGTTTATTTTTTCTTAATATAGTTTGCTTTATTTATCATGATTATTTAAAATAGCAATCACAAAATATATAAAAGAAGAGAGAGACATCATTGTAGTATTATTAATCTTCACGTCATGATATGGAAATGAATCAATTTGTAATTTTGCAGCAATTATGAAGATAAAATATTAAACACTTAATTAAATATTTCCCATTAAAATTTAGAAGCAATCAAAAGATGCATTACAATAACTCCTCCATGTTCATAGTTCAGAAACACTATGAATACTAAGTTTAACAACTTATGTGAAAAATAACTGTATGCTTCCTAGGCACAACATTATCACATCAAAATCATATTTGGATTAAAATAATATAATATTTTTTGTATTATGTTAAATGGGAAAGTGAAATTCATGACAAAAATTTTTAAAACTATTTCTTGTTGATGAATAACAATAATAAACCTCTTCACATTTCATTCATAAGTACATGTAAAGAATGCAAGTGGCAATAGTAATTTATGTCAGATTTAATTAATCTTTATAAAATAATCAAGAAAAATTCTCTGAGATGAATCATATTATACTTTTCTTCCCAAAATATGTATCAGATTAAAAAACAGACCTCAGATATTTTAATTGCAAATAATCCAAATTTCAACCTTATATATTTTATACTTGTAAACACAATGAGTTTACAGTAAACTGTAGAAACTGCTTTGTTTACAGAATAAAGTTTTAACTATAAAAAGTAACTTTATAAATTGAGGTATTCTATATTTAATTTAAGGCATTGCAGAAAAAGAGTTTGGTTTATTAGAAGTGATAATTTGATTGTAATAGTCAACTTATTACTTCTAATAATTATTTTATTAATAGTATTGTTAACAGCTTTTTTTAAAGTAACTAAAGTCATGAACTATGTTTATAAAAAACAATTAATTGTGATTAACGATCATAAACAAAATTGTTTACAATTATCATCATCATTAATTTTTTGTTCAACATAGAAAGTAATATAAACTTTCTACTTTGAATACAAAGTTCTAATAATCATTTCTTGAATATAGTAAGTATTCTGAATATTTCAAGTAATGCAACATTGAAGAAATTAATAAAAACAACTCTGATAAATTATCTATTATATTTAACCAAATATAAAGTTTTTTCTGCATTACTGAAGATAATTATTTCATCAAATATATAAAAAAAAATTTGCTAATTAGCTACTGAAGTGTTTAAGACTGTTTCAATGCTCTTCATAAGAAAATTCTATTACATTAACACAGCTAAAATCAGAGAATTAATCACAATCAACTGTTATGTCTAAGCATAATATTTGTTAAACACAGTTTCAATAACAATTCATCCCAAACATTATGAAAGATGAAGCTATTTTATGAATCTCATCAATTAGTAGTTACTTAAAAACCAGAATTTAAGAACAACTAAGAATTCATAAACAATATACTTCAGTTTCTAGGAATAAATTTTCAAACAATGTAAAAAACAATAAATAGACTTTTCTAGTACTAAGTTCATATTATATTGTGACTGACATACATTTAATTTTTCTAGAATTGAATTTCATAATTTGTAAATATTCACATTTCCCAAGGATAGTTTCAATAACAATAATATTTACATCAATTTCAAATATTATATATAATTTATATATGTAACGATAAACTGTGCACAAATTTTCAAAAAAAAAAAAAAAAATATTTACTGAGATTTCCTGTAGTTTTCCTCAACATTTTGCCTCATTTCATTAAAAACTTTAGTTTTCACAAAATCTATTTTCTTATATACAATAGATGCTGACGACGATTTTTCGGGTGATCTTGGGCTTTGAACTGAAGCATCCGAATCAAGATCCAAATCTAAGTATTGAATTTCTTCTTTCTTCAACTGTGGAGCAGGAGGTATCATCTGTTTTACTTCCTAAATAAAGTTTGAAATTAGTATCCTAATCATCATATACTGTATATAAAAAAGAACTTAAAAATATTTTATGAATTTTATACTATATTTTATTTCTGTAGAAAAAAAATAAAAATAAACAAAATAAACTTCCTAAACCAGTCAAACTATATTCTAATCTTTCATGTACAGTACATTAACAAAGTTGTCTAGATGAAGTTTATCTACTGTAACTATGAAAAAAAGACAAAGCCAATTCATTGCTGTCAAGTATGAGTAGACATTAGTTGTCATGAACAGGATTTAGCTCATTATTGTACCTTTCAAATTTATATGAAAAGAATTAAATAATCAATTCATCATCTATCAGAATACTTGCTTTCAAGACCACAGTCATTCTGATAAAACTTCCTACCAGTTATTGTTTTTTAAAATTTAATTAAACAGCAAACAATGGAATATATAAGCACATCTGTGACTGATCAAGATCAACCACATGCTATGAATCAGGTGATCTTGTTGTGCTGGAAAGACTTACAGATAATATAGTAAAGCAGTCTTTTTCTTTATCCTATGAAGAATGTACTGTACAATACAGTCGAATTCCATTGATATATTCTACTCTTTTTTAAAAATTTACTACAGTCGACCCCCTTATAATGTGGGTTCCTATAACGGAAATTCCTATAACGTAGCGAAAAAATTGCGGCAGTATTCGTATAAGGAAACTCGTAAAACGTCGTCGCCGACTCGTGTCACGACAAAATTGGTCGAATCTGGACCAATAGTGGATGAGCAGCCGAACTACTTTCCGCCATCCAGTGCCACTCTACGGAAAGTTTAGGCGGGTAAATTGAGTTTGCTATCATCTGTACAGTATTATATATAAATTAGGTACTGTACATATAATTATATATTAATTATGTATAAATTAGGTACTGTATATATAATTATATATTAACTTAATTTATTGTAACTTTATTATAATTATATATATACTTTCCGCCATCGAGCGCCACGCTACAGAGAGTTTAGGTGAGTAAGTTGAGTTTACTATCGTCTGTACAGTATGTAAATTACAGTACCGTAAGTCTAATACAGCACTAATTTTACACATTTCTTGTGAAAAAAACATTTCTTATTCAACGGCCATAAAAATTTTTATTATTAATGATGTCTCCAAAGGTCAACGAATTTTTCGCAGAAAAATAATTTATCAGAAAACGTGGCCGACGTTTGGTGCGCTGCTCCACGATGAAAACAAGCGTAAGCAACGACATAGTCGAACGGTGCACACTCAGTAAGTAATCCTACAATTTTTTGTTTATATCATAGTTTATATGGATTATTCCCAAAAAATTATGTGTGTTTTGGAAATGTTGAGTCAAATTAGTCTAGAATTGGTTAATTTTATAGAAGAAAACCTTTCAAACAGCCTTAGTCCGTAAACTTCACACGTGTCAGGCTGTGATTAGCTCATGTATTTAAGGATTCCTACAACATAAAATTCTTATAAAGTGGAACATATCTAAGCGTTATAGGGGGTCTTACTGTACTTTTTGACACAGATTAATGTGTAGGAACCTTATAATAATCTTTTAAAAAGTTACTTTAAAAATATGAATTTTAGAGCAGCTTTGTGTATGTTAAATAAACAATCTACTAGAACATTCAGAAAATTTAAAGATTTTTTTAATATTAAAATATTTTGAGCTATTTCATACAACCATATAATTATATATATAAATTAATTAATTAATATAATTAAAATTAAAATAAAAAATTAAATAATTAATTAATAATCCAACTGAATAAATAGAGTCAATAAGTTGCCAAGTGTTGATATATGTCACCTTAGTGTGTCTGCAAAGAAACAGCTTAATAACAACAACACGGTTTCATCGGAATCAAATAATTAATTAATATAAAAAGCATTTATAACCTGTTCAGAGTTGGTAGAATTTCTTCTACTGCCACCTGAACTTGCTAAATCATCATCAGATGTGGAATGTTCTGAACGTCTATGACCTCGGCCAGGAATTGGAGGTGGAGTTGTACCAATTCTTTCTGAAAATGATGATGACGATGAGGCTAATCTGTTTAAAATAAAAATATATGATCAATAATATAAAAACATATTGTTTAACAATATTTTTCAATGTTCTCATTTCTTAAAGGTGCACAATATTTTCTCTATTAAGTTCATATCAAATTAATGACAGGATATTGATTAAAAAAAAATATTTATCACAAATATGAACACATGTATACTTATAATTTTTATTATCTACACTTTTAATGTAGATAACTTGATTTCAAATATTAACACTGTAAAAATTTAGTTATTTTTCAATGCTATAACTATAAATTTTTTCTATTTAACACAAATCATTATAAATTAACCTATCCTCATTTTGTTACAAATATTGCAAGTACTGTACAATCATTAACAGTAATAACTGAAGTCCTTGTAAGTAAAGAGAGTAACAAGAGCCATTCTTTCCTACAGAGAGGTAAATCAACCAATTAGGAAGCTATGTTAGGTCATGTGGATACTCAAATATGAAGTATCCACAATCAGCTACTTTGAGTCAGGTAGAGATACTTTGTGTGAATTTCTGAATTCACTAATTATTTTATTCATTAATAAATCATATAATGTTACAAAAATAGAAATTTATTAAATTTGTCCCTTATAAATTTCCTCAATAAATTTTATTGATATTAGATTATTATACATTTTCTCAAATTCAGTCCAATCTAGTTTGTTGTGTTTCACGACAACTTGTAATAAACAGGGAGAAAATTTAATTGAAAATTAACTATTCTTTTTGTTATTTTAAACATTGACCTTAAGTAACATCAATGTCAAATGAAAATAGAGAATTAATGGAAAAAGTTTTCAATTTTTAAGACATTTGTGCATGAATTTCATAAGGCAAGTTGACATCACAAATGGTGTAATTCTGATTCCAAGAAAAACCTTTCACGAATAAAAATTGTGCAATATAATAAATGATGATTTACATACTATTAAATCATCATTAACAGCTTCTTGTGATGTCAAAGAAACAACAGAAGTGTAACACATTCTAGTGTTGAGAGAAAAATGAACACAAAAACCAAAATAATTTATTAGTCATAGGGTGTGATTTTTGGCTTATCACTATAAAATAATTTTCTAAGAGCTAGACAATAACTATTTCTTTTTATACTAAAATCAAGCTTAAGAAGGATACAACTATTTTATAAATTTGACTTACGGACTGTCCACTAATTATGTGAACAATTTTTGACACCTCCCTCTATTGTGTGCAATGATATATTTCTGGCAAATCCCTCCCGTTTAATTATATATATATATATTTCAGGATGTCATTATATTGAAGAAATGAGTTTAAAATGCTCTGCAATGTGAACAAACTAATAGTTTACTCATATGACCAGTAGTAAGCTTACATGTATTAAATACTTGGCTCGGATGTCACGCCAACAGTTCACTCAATCAAAAACTTCAGATTATGTATTTAATGCCTCATAATCTGAAGTTTTTGATTGAGTAAGCTTACGTATAACAACAAATTTTTATGCCAACTAATACCATTAAAAAGTCCATATAAACAATGTCTTCACCATTTCCCTTCCCATTGTGCGCACTACATGATGTACTTTTCACAATTCCACCTCTTAAGCTATACTGTAAATAATGGATAACCTCTAACCAATAAAAATATTAAATCATTTTTTTAATTTTAATTTTTAATAAAGCTACAGTTTATTTAATTTAGTTAAACTGACATATATGAAAAATAAACAAGACAATAACAAAGTCAAACTATGACATACAATGTATGATACTAAAAAGTCTTTATAGAACTCATTCATAATTATAAGTGCCTAAAATATTTTCTCACAAGGAATGAATTAACAACTTCCCTTTTTTGTTCTTAGCAATATGTACACAGTTGTATGTTTATTTGGAGTTTCTCCAATGTTGTTTTTCATCTGTAAGTTTAGAGGTTGGTAGAGAATTTTTTTTGTAGAGAAAATTTAATTTACTCTACAAAATTAATTGGTAGAGAAAATTTAATTTACATGATTGATGAGATGCACATGTGAAATGCAGGCTGAAATTTGGTACAGGTAACCCCCATATAACACGGAAGTTACGTTCCAAAAAATTGCTGTGTTATGCAAATCAATGTTATACAAAACAAAGAACTAGTGCGAAATAGGAGGTTAGGTTCCAAAAATTAAAAAACATGCTATTAATCCTTATTTAAACTGGATTTATTATTCGTTTTTTCATAGGTAAAATACTTATTTATTATTTAAGTAAATATTTTACCAGAGGATTATTCATCCTATATGATGATCTCAGCATGAGCATCATCAACTGGTAACAGTTTGTGGGTGCATTCGTTAATAGCAGTCACTCTGCAACGGGAGTGTGCTGCTGTTTGTAGGCATTTAGAAACAACAGTGAAAGAAAGATGGTGGCGCCTGCACTATCGATAGGATCGTGTGGAAGAATCTATAATTCTAAAATGAGCTTTTAGAGGCAAAAAAAGGGTCCCAATTGTAAAATTTAACCATTAAATGGATTATTGTTGAAAGAGCATTCAAAGTAGCTATGAAAACAATTAGAATGGTTGCGCGGAGTTACGTAGATGTATAAAAGAATGCACCCTTCTTACATTTCATGTTGTATGAGGGCTTTACCCAATTCCCGAACCGTGTTGAGTGAACCCGTGCTATAAAACCACCATGTTATACGGGGAATGTTCCCAATTCTCGAACGGTGTTAGAGTGAATCTGTGCTATAGAAGTGCCGTGTTATACGGGGGTTACCTGTACTTGTCTTACAACAGCACTTTGACTCACAGATTTTGTAGTCAAGCACAAGCTCTGAAGCAATACATTTAAAATTTTTCATAGAATAAAAAAAAAAAATAGACTATTAGTGGTTTGTTTTTGGGTATTATAGTACATTTTTTGAGTTTTATAATGTGTACATTTAACTATGATATTTTATAATACATGAAAAATAATAATAAAAATTTACTTACCTTGGTTTTCTGAAACTTCTTTTTGTAACATGAGGACGAAACCGACTGACTGGAGGAGGAGCAAGAGTCAAAATACCATTCTGATCTAAAATATTGCAATATAAACACTCTTTAATTTTAGAAAAGTATTTTTATAAAATTTATAGCATTTTAAAACTATGCAAAATCAAAATGTATATGTTTAAAATACATAAACATAACAAAAACTCTTATTTTAAAGTTACCAAAGAATGTAAATGAAGCATTTTTGATTTAAATTTTAGTCATCTTCCATATCAAAAAATTGTATAAATGGAACAGCACATTTTTACATTTGAAAATTTCATAAAATTGAATAATTAAACTATTAGGATTTCATAATTTGATAATTGATTATTGGATATTCCCTGGATTGACAAGCAATCTAGCAGACACAGGTCAATAACAATTTCTCCAGAAACTGTGAAGCAATTATGCTATCTGGACCTCTAGTCCAATTCCTTTTCCAGTATATTTAATGTTAAGCTATAACCATCATTGGTTACTATGATGCTGACTAGGGATGCATTCGGCACCCTCGTTCAGTAAACATCCAGAAAAGGTACTCAGTCGGCCATCACATACCTGGCAAGCCATAGATATACATATAAATGTCCCTACAATTTATAATTATTTATTCCAAATTATAGCCCTATAATTTAAGGCAGTTATTGCATTACATTGGGTTTGTAGGGATGTTTATATGTAGATCTACGTCTTGCCAGATATGAGATGGCCGACTGAGTGCCTTGTGTGAATGTTTACTGAACAGGCACTGAATGCGTTTCCAGTCAGCACTGAATGTAGGGCACTGAATGCGTTTCCAGTCAGCACTAGTAACTGACAATGGTTATAGCTTAACATTAAATATACTAGAAGAGGAGATCGAACCGAAGGTATGGGTAGCATAACTGGCAATGCATCCACACGGTAGGCGGAAGTTGTGGGTTCGAGTCCCACTTTGAGCCGATTCTTTTATTCCAGTTTAATCTAAATTATGTAATTAGATATTTAATTATTAATTTTAATACGAGATGGCACCTAATGTCTCCCTCTAGTGCCAAATTCATTTATAATTGTGAAGTAATTGCATCTGTGAAGTTTATTGAACATCCAAACTATGATCTCAATATATTATCAATCTTTAATCCTATTTAGTCCAAAAAATGATCCTGTAAATAGAGTAGATCATTTTTCAAACAATGACAATTTTTTGTAATTTGAAATCTTTTTGAAAATATGGTCTCAAACTATATAAATTATTCAGTTTACAATTTTTTAATTTGCAATTTAATATCAAAAGTTTTTGATATTTAATTTTGGTATATCTCATTTCTAAAATATTTGATTAAATTTTCTATTAAATCTACATGCTGTATATAGTTGTTGTAGGATATTCTGTCAGATATTTATTTGATTTTATTGAAAAATATTATGAAAAGAAAAAAATTTACAAGCCCAAATGATGGCAATTTTTTATTGCAATGTTTATAAATATTAACTTCTGGAAAAAATATAGCAGCTATCAGTAAAAAAGTAATGTTATCTTACTCATAACCTATACAATGATTCTCTTAAAAATGTGTCTGTATAATTTAATTTCTTAAAAATTAGTTTGTATTTTAAAACTATATTCTCTGCTTCCATTCCTTTCTAAACAGGTATCAAACTAAAAGAAATTCCACATTGCCCATGTTACACAAAGACAATATTGACTACAAATCCTAAATGAAGTAATCTATATAAATAAAAATGTAAATGTTCGTTTGTTCAAAATCTTAAATCTCCGCAAGTTCTTCACTGATTGACACAACATTTGAAATTTTGACACAACATTGCATTCGAATACGCGCATGTTTTTATATACCCAGTATTATATAGATGTCATACGAAATTCCCCCTGCAGGGGAGAGGGACAGGATTAAGGCTTATCCTAAAGAACACAACTTCTACTATACTATTTTAGATGCAATTTTTATTTTTAACTGCATTTTAGTAGGGTACCACGTGGGGATGAAAGAAGTGTATTCCTTAACAATGGAAGTGTTAAGAGAAAGCGACATGCAAGATTTACAGGCGCAGATGTGGATGACAACATTGCCTGCATCACTTCTGTCAAAATACTACTAGAGATTTTACAATTCCTACAGATCTAGCAAATGTAAAATTCCATTATACTGTTTGGTGGAAGTTATTATTTCTCTGGATGCTTCTATGTATGAACAAATCATCTAGAATAAAGAATTCTGAGTCCCTGGTCTTGCTGAGAACAAAATATGGTCTAAGATTTGGAAAAAAATTTTGTATAAAAATTGTTAGAATAATGACAATGTCAATAAAAACTAAATATGATTTACCCATTTACACTTGTGCAAAAATTGAAATACATTCACACTTCAATGAATGTGAAACATTCTTTTTTACTTAAACAGGTGAAACATTACCATTTCTTGCTAGAGATTAATTATGATAAGTATTTTGATGGCTAGTACACTTTCGAAAATGACAGAGGTTATGCCTTTGCAAGCTCTGCATTGAGCAATTACATTAGCCTATTACATTTTATTTAATGTAATGTAACATAAGGCAATGACTGGATGTTATAAATACAAAGATAAAAAAATAATATTGGCATGTTTTTTAACTATTAAAGTTTATATTTCAGTTAAATTCATAGTAACTTTTAAATTACTTGTCTTTCTTTTTGTTTTTAAAATCTATTTACCAAACTGAAAAAGAACTTAAATTCAAATTTTCAGAATCTAAATATCTGAAGTCTAGTTATCAGCCATGAAAATTATTCAAAACATATTTTCTCCTGACTCTCTTTCAGAAATAAAAAATTCCCAAGCCATGTTTTGTTGGAATTTCATTCAGTTTGAGAGAAAAACGGTTTATTTTTCAAAAATTTCCCAATATACATGTTAATTCTTATTAAAAACTGTTTTAAAATTTTTAATACAATGAAAATAATAAAGCGATGATAAAACAGAAGATTTTTATGTGATGATGTTTGACTTGTGATATAAATAATGTATTGAATTGGCCAATAAGACTGCAGTTTTTATTTTTTAGGTAAAAATAAAATTTTTATTCAATAATATATTGCCTTTTGCCATCTTTTGGACAGCTTCATAATTCCTCATTCAAAAAATTTCCAGTGTTTTTTTTTTGGGGAGGTAAAAAACTGTTCCAAGTTTCATTTTATGTTGTCATCAGAAACAAAGTGTGTTCATTTAAAAAACTTTAAAGGAGCAAAACAAGTGGATAATCAGAAGGAGCAAGGTTGTGTGAATATGGAAGATGAGGTGCAACACCCCAGCGATGCTCCAAAATTTTTGCCAGGTTTGCAACGACACGTGTCTGGGCATTATCATGGTGGAAAATGAAGCCCTTACAATTCATCAATTCTGGATGGTTGTCCTGAATCACTGCATTTAATTTGTCCAGCTGGCTATGATATACACCAGAACTGATAATTGTATTTTTCAGAAGCAGCTCATAAAACAAAACACCCTTCAATCCCACCAAATTGAGAGCATGACTTTCTTTGGATAAAACCCTGCTTTGGAAGTAGTTTACAGTGGTTCATCTTGCTTCCCCATGATTTTTTGTGCTTGATGTTGATGTAACTGTCCATTTTCCATCCCCATCACTATTCACTTCAGAAATGAACAGCTTTCCTCAGATTTTTTGAATGAATCACAGATGAAAATATGAGTGATGTGACTGGCTTCACTAAGTTTGTGAAAAACCCAAATATTAAGCTTGATGATATAACCAAGTTGACACAGACAATTTTGATATTTGAAGAATATCTGCAATCTCCCACATCTTATGGCATGGATTACTGTCCACTAATTCTTTTACTTTATCACTGTCGATCTCAACTAGCTGACCTGAATGTGGTGCATCTTGAACAGAAAAATCTCCAGAACAAAATCCTGCAAACCAATTCTGGCAAATGCATTCTTTCATGGCATCTTGATTTATACACTTAACACATTTTTTTGCAGGTTTGCATTGCATTTTTTCCTTTTTTAAAATAAAAAAGCATAATGTATTGAAAATGTACATTTTGTTCATTCATGTTTTGAATACTGACAAATACAAAAAAACAAAACTAACCAGCAAGCTTTATTTTTGACAAGTTTTGGTGAAATGTCATTTGTCAAACAATCATGTTTTCAAGATTAAAACTATTAATAATTGTTTTTCAAACTTACTAACTATTACCAAAAACTGCATGGACTTATTGGTCAACCCAATAAATAATTAATGTAAATAGTAAAATATAATATAATAATGATAATATAAATGAACTTTATTGAATAAATCAAGCATTTATAAACTTCATACGTGAATTTTCTTCAGAATGATTTGATATAATCCAAATTTAAGATTACTTGTAGTATTTTTTTTTTAAAGCAAATACTGCAGAAAATGTTTCTTCGATAAGTTAATCAATTAAACAACAACACACAACACCAGGGTGTAGTAAACAACTACCCTATGAACTGATGACTGGTGTGAGATAAAAACAAAAAAACAAAAGAGAAAGTTCAACACTAACGTTTTTGAACTCCTAAGTTCTTCAGGTGTTAATTAATCAATTATTGAGTTAGCTATTTCTTTAGTACTAATTATTGTAATAATTTTAAACCTTCAATTTATCAGTAGCATTTAATTTAGAAAAAAGTTAACAAATATGCAAATACTGTCTTTGCTTCATTTAAACATGGCCACACAATTAGTCTCCACCTACCACTTATCAGCATAACATCAAAGCAGCTCTGAGTGCAAGTACTCTATACTTAATTAATTACTTCTGGACTAGTCTTTTTGCACAGGAACTGTATAAGCTATTATGAACTTTCACTCAAAAAAAGAGCAAGATTTTATTAATTATATCATAGTTTTATTCTCTACATTTTTTCTTCTTTTTAAATCAATGAATGAATCAGCCAAATATTTTCTAACATTAGGTCTCCAGATGTTACATATACATTAGCTACTCAGTTTTTTTACAAAAAGAAGCTTATCAAATTATGTAACAAAAGTATGAGTTATATGTGTTAAATTAAAAAATATTGACAAACTTAATGAAATACATGTTCTATCATAACTTTCATAGCCAAACAACCAGACTGCAAATTAAGTAGTAGATTATATGCATTCTGAAGATGAATAGAAGCTATATTTGGTCATTATGACAAAGATATTTCATCACATTTAATAAAAGTGACTGAGAAATGGAGCTAAAAATTATTACATTTATTTATAATATAAGAGATATTCCAAAATATCTTTATAAAAATACTGTTTCCACTAATATATATTTTTAACACAGTATTGTTGTGTAAATTTTTTTGTCCAATGGAGATTATTATTATTAAAATTAAAAACAAAGTCTGCCCAAAACTTTTGGGCAGACTTTGTCTTTAATTTTAACAGTATTGTTGCTTGAAAGTAAGGTAATCAATGAAAACATATATCTAACAAAATATGCTATCTCCATTCTATTCTGATGCAGTGCCAGCATCACAAGGATAAATTAAACAGAATATTTACTGAACCTGTCTTCCAATGGACTGCAATGTAATATGTTCTATGCACTCAAACAGGAGAACTGGTTTAGAGAACCTAGATCTAAGCATTCATTAATTACAAAGGACTAATAATTGAACAACAAACATTCTGAAAATTTGTACTATATGAAAATAAGATTATTTCTTAAGTAATATAAATACTATCATTCAATAATTATTATTAATTTAATATCAGTGAATAGATTATTCTTAATTCTATTAGCTTTTAGAACAGACAATAGAATATCTTGAATATTTATAATTTTTTACTGATTGATTATTATATTATGTCTATGTGAATCTAAGATAAAATTTTTCTTTAAAATTATTAATCTTAGAATTGCTGATATACATTCATGTAATATGAATGTAATCATGCTTTTTTTATACAGTACACTCTTGCTAATCAGGCCATTCTTTGCAAGAGAGGTATCAGATTCCTGAGTGTATAGGCCTAAAGGCAGAGAGAGAGACGACTCATCACCCTTTGGTGATAATTCTTTTCGGGGAAGGTGGACAAATAATACAGTATTCTAACATGCTATACTGTACACAGGACTATTTACAGTAAATGAGAAAATAGGACGTATGACGTAACAAACATTTCCATGGAAATGCACAGGCAATCATACCATGGAGAATCGAATAATTGAGGCCACATTAGCACAAATATACTGTAACATAACATATATATATATATATTATTAGTAACAATAATTTCAAACAAATGAAATAAGGTTACCAATTATTTTTATTCATAAATTATATAACTAAAAATATTTTAAGCAATACATACTCTCTGCATCAGAAACTTTTCTCTTTGGTTTTAATTCTCTGTTGACTGCTGGAGGAATATCACCAACTGAACCTAAAGATGCACTAGGACTTGTAGGAATGTTTGCATAAGTTCCCATTGCTGAAGGTGATAACTGTAATTCACCAGACATGTCAGTATAAATTTCACTTTTTTGTGAATCCATACTTAAATATCCATCACTACATAAAGAAGGTTTAACAAATTCATAATTAAATATTGTTTCCTTATTATTAAATAAACCAGGAGGTGCATTTGTGTAGGCATGCCGCCGCCTTCTTTGAGATCCTTTTGCATTTATGGGAGGTGGAACTGGCATATTAATATTATCTTCACTCCTAAACTTTGGAAAATCATAAATATCATCTAATGCAACATCCTTTGATTTTGGAAAAGCAACTGGGACTTTTGTCGATGGTGATATACTTTCTAAATCGGTATCATCTTTTAGAAAAGCAAACACTTGTGCTGGCAAATTTTTACTTAATTGCACTCCCTTAGCTGACAATGGAGTATCATAAACTGGATTATTATTTTCACTGAGAGAATTAATAGTAACATTTTCATACTTTCTTCCAAGATGTTGAGGTTTAGGTGGTCTTGGTGGTGGTTTATCTAATGTATCTTTGTTAATACAGACTTGATCTACATTTTCAGATACATCATTACTATCTTGAGATATCACAGCTTGCAGGTTTCCATTATTATTACTGTTCAAATTTATTTGTTCTAACTGACTTGTTACTTCTGATGTAAATTTTTCATGTATGTTATCTTCTGGAGTTGTAGATCTTGAACAAGTATCAAAATCCAAATCTGATTTATTTTTCTTTTGATATGAATCTTGTGGATATGTATCCCAATTAACTTTAGGAGGTAGTGGAGGTAAATTATATACAAAACTATCAGTTTGGATGAAAGATTTTTCGGTATTTTTTAATGACTGAGGAATTTTATAAAATTCTTCAACATTCAGTTCTGGAGATGTCCTATTTCTATCATTTATAAAATTTAAAGGTTTAGGATAATCATAAAATTCAGATGATTCTCTTCTTTCTTCGCTATTCATCTTAGGCGGGGGCGGCGGCGGTGGTGCTTCTGGAAGACTTTCATTACAACTTTCACAATTAAATCCATTTGTTATAGGTTTTCCACTAATGCATTCACTAATTGGTATATATGGATTTGATCCAGATCTAGAAAGTTCCAGATTTGATGTTGATTGAGCAGGTGTCACTGAATTAGTTGATACTGTTTGAGAGCTAGTTGTAGTCTGAGGAGGCATGTAATCTGGACAAAAATAAAATTATACTTTATTTAATTAAAATAACTTAAAAATTAAAACTATGCAACAGTTAATAAGTATTCATTATTTATAACTGTGATGTAATAATTAATTAATTGTTTTACTTAAATTCAATACATCATTTATTAAAATCAAATATATTTTTATTTAATGTATAAATATTGGGTCATTGCAAATGAAATGGTTGTTTTTAAAATTCAAACTTTTCGGCCTTATAGTTCAACTTTTATCCATGTGAACAGTGCTGTATGTTTGCAATTGAAAGAGCAGAAACGTAATATGTGAATTTAAAAATGTAGTTTCATTTATATTGTGAGTTCCACATGTTTAAGAGTACTTTTTCTTATGGCATGGATAAAAAACAATTCAATAATTTTCTTTCTTGAGTATAAGATGGGACATAATGCATCCAAAGTAACCCGAAATACCAATAAAACTTTTGGCAAAGATTCTGTGAGTGAGCAGGCCACCAGACATCGATTCATAAACTTTCATTCCAGAAATACAAATCTGAAAAGTGCAAAAATTGTTTTATAGAAAAATCTGAAACTTTGTACACTACCTAAGAAAACAATTATGTTTTGAATGAGATAATCAGAATTTCTTTAAGTGTTTGGGAAGGGAAAATCAACCACCGAAAATCAGCAACACTGATTCCTATAAATATGTATAGTCTGTCAGTGATGTTTTACTTGGCACAGAGTCACTGCCATGACTCTTGACATTACAGGATTTAAACATACAAGGATTCTGCAGAATTTTTTATTTTCGAAAGTCTTTAGATTTCAGTAGATTGGGAGCTGTTGTTCTACTATGTTTACATTACATAGAAAGTTAAATTATGAAATTAGAAATTACATAGAAAGTTAAATTATGAATAACTGATGTATAAACTTGTTCACTAAATTTTCTTTGTACCATCAGTTCTCATTGAAAGTTCAGAGTAAAAATTTATATAATGGAGAGAGTATTGCATAAAAAATATAAATAGGAAACATCAACCATATAAATTCACAATTCAAGTAATTTTACAACATTAATCAGATATAGTTCTTATAATGTAATTATGTGTCTTAATATTTGTATTGTATTTCTTCCATATGTATTCATATTCTATATCAGAGGTTCTTAATAGTATCATTTTTTTAATTATCAATAAATAAACATTTGATGATTAATGTGTAGATTTGTGTTTTCTATTTATATCAATATAAATCTGAACAAGTGAAATAATAACTATAAAGTAAGATTAATACCATCATCTAAATGTATTTTTAATCCACAAACTGAACAAATGCAGTCAACCCATTTATTCATAGATGATTCAGTTTCTGCAACTAAATAATAAACACGTTTTGGAGTCCTAATATCAAACATATATTGATAGTTCGATTTTCTGCTTTCAAATGATAAACCAGCATCAACCTAAAAAAAGAAAATAATAAAATCAAGAATTCTATAAGTAAATATAAAATTTAAATAACTCAAAGTTTTTCTATTTTATACATTATGAACTTTTTATTATGAATAATAAACTATACTAAATAAACAAAAGTATTCAGACATCTAGTTCTAGATTACACAATATAATTTATTTTCAAAAATCAGTAATTAACACATTTAGACATGTTTTCCACTAAATTCCAGTTTATCTGTTTAGGAATATTCCTCCATTTTTCCAGTAAAGTTCTTGTCAGAGCTGTCACAGAATAAGGTCTTGCTGAATGAGATTTGGAACAAGCTAGACAGGCACATCCAATCTCACCCAGTAAGAGCTTCCTCTATTACAAATCTAACAGACACTTTGCTAGAGAAATTAAGTAATATTTCTGCATAGATCTACTAGTATTTAGTAGATAGTATACTTAGAAGGGTTGCTGCAGTTGTTAGAATAGAACAAATAATTATTCTCTTATTCTTGAGTGAGCATAAGATTGCTTGAGAGAATGCAATGTACTGTACAGTAACACAAAATATGGATAAGATATACAGGCTTTTATTGATTCTAGACATCTAGAGATTCCTCTAGAGTTAATAAAAGCCTGTATATGATACGTTACTGTATGATGTAAGATTGTCTCAAACAATCTTAGGCTCATTCCTAAGGATTAAAATGAACACAAGAGTCAATCAAATACAAGTAATTATTGATTTTTGGCAAATAAATGCTTGAACACTTCTGTCTACAGTGGTTACGTGATAACAAAAATATAAACAAATTGATTTACATATAAATTTTCATTTAAATGCTAAAAAACATATTGATATTATAAACTTAATAAAATAAAAAGTAATGTCAACTAAGTTTTAAAATTATTAATTTAAAAATCAAATCACTTTTCCATAGATTAAAAAGCCTATGATATAATTTTCAATTTTCAGCATTATATTTAATGTTTTAAAAAATGACAAATTTTTGACAAAATATTAATATTTCAATGTTAATTTATTTTAATTAAAATTTTTCTAAAAAGTAATGCATTTCAAAATTTAAAGCTACAAGTTTCAGATTAACAAGGAACATACTTTTATTGTTTTTTAAACTGATAAACTAATGAAAATAAATACAGTAATAAAATTAATTTTGTGAAAAATTAAAAATAAATACTGAATTAATATTTATTGTATTATTTCAAATTAATTTAATAAATTTAAATTCTTCACAATAATTAAAAAAAATAATCTTATTACTATTTATTTATAATTAAATTTATATTTTTATGAACCCCAATAGACAAGTAGAACTAAAATTTAAGTAAATAAGTTTGTCAATAATTATTTTATCATATTAATCTATACTACTATATAAAGAGACAACGTATTTTTCATTTGTGACCACTAACCGTGAAAACTACTGAACCAATCGTTACCAAATTTTAACTGTAGCATCTTTATGACCCCCGGAATGTTTACCACTAATCAAACCTGCAGATTTTTTATTAATTAAATAAAACTACAATGGATTTTTGTCTAGGGTTAAGGCTTTTATGTCCAACAGATGGCGCTACGAGTATGACGCCCTAAGTTTGCTTTTCTGTGAGGATGAACTCAAGGACTTTAAACTACTTGTAGTATATAGTCCTTGGGATGAACTAAAGCAGATCATCTTCTATCTATCTATATAAATAAAAATGTAATGTTCGTTTGTTCCTACCAATTCCTTTGAAATTTTCACACAATTCGAATACGCACGTATTTTTATATAATATACATGTCGAAATTCCCCCCACTGGGGGGAGATGAACAGGATTAAGGCTTACCATAAAGAACTCTGCTTCTATTTCTACTATTTTAGATGCGGTTTTTTGCGTTTTTGATTGCGTTTTAATAGGGTACGCCGAGAGAATGTACACTAAGAAGAAATTTTTCTAAAAATTTCCCCCCACACGGGGGAAGTGTTATACATTTATAATAGATACATCTTGAGCCACAACAACGCGTGGCGGGGTCTGCTAGTTTAATATAATGATAACATATCTATTCATCAAATTCTAAACTCTCTGTTTCTTCTATCTGCTAATGGAAGAGACTTCTATTAAAATTTTAGCATCCAAATAAGCCCAAAGAACAATAACTGTACATGCCAAAATTAAAACCTCTTTAAATTGATTATACTAGTTTTTCATTGTTATAATAAATAAATGTATACATAATATAGTAAAAAATATATATTCATAAGCAAAATTATATGTGCATAACACTGGGTAGTTTCATTTAAATGGAAATTTTCATTAAATCAAAAATGTATCTATAATTGTCCATATTTAGTTCAAATTATTTTAATTTAGAAATGGCAGGACATTGAGCAGGTTTCTAACGGCAATTATCATGCCACTTTTAAATGCAAATTAAGACAATGTTAATTGCTTTTCTTATGTAAATTAAACTTTGTAATTATTTAAATAACTATTGTTGTAACCTGCTGATATTTTAAGGAACAATAATACTGTTTTATTTAATTTACAAAAAATATGGACAAAAAGAATCAGGTTAAATGGCAAGTAATATGGTGATAGAATGTTTACAAACACAACTTTAAATCACATGATTTTTTCCGTGGAAATTTAGTTATAGGTTCAAAAGTGCTGTGAGATAAAAGATTGAAAAACACTGCTTTAATGAAATTAACTGTAAGATATTGCAAAAATAAAATGCATTTTTCTCTATTTTGAACTTATTCAAGGAATTATTTTATGGTTAATTTTATCAAAACATTGCTTGTCATTAAAACTTGTAATTTTTCCAAGTGCAAAACAGATTAAATATTTATTCTATTATTCTGAAAATTATACACACTATAAATTACAAATAAAAATACTCTCAATATAGTAATAAAAAAAGCTTTGCCCCTCTCTCTCTTTGCCCATTTTTTCAAAAATTTTGACAATTCATACATTCCCAATACTGCTATTTTTCCCCCTAGACATCATACGGACCCCACATTTCATTTTCTAACCCACAGGCTTCACCCATTGTTCCCAACTTAGATTACTCATAACAAAACTTTAATTCTTGATTTTTTTTTGTGATGGAAAAACATTTGTGGCAATTTTAAGCTAAGTATTTTATAAAAATAAAAAAAATTGATATATTCGTTTTATTTGTATTAACACATTAAAGGCTGCCATCTTATAATGGGAAGGGTCACATGACCTTACTGGTATGTACAGATGTTTCAACCCTGGTTTACAGTATACTTCCGTGTGGATTGTAGTTTGCTCGAACTTGATATTGATGTCAAGGAAATGGGCCTCAGAATCATGAGCCTGGTCTATCTCGAGGGTCAATCCATAGGGGTTGTCGTTGAATGACAACCCCTATGGATTGACCGACATATGCTGATATGTCTGGCTTTACCTTCCATAAGATAAGAATATCGTCGATATACCGTTTATATAGTATGATGTTGGGTAAATGCTCTGGGATATTTGTATTAATGTCTTTAAACATTACAATATATACACTACATTAAAAAAACTGTCACATTGATCATTTAATTTTGTTTAGATATAATTTTTTAATAATTAAAAGTAAATATAGTTTCTTACTATAGAAGTTTATTAGACCAGCACCTGTAGAGCCAGAATATTGCTGGATACCAAATATTTTTTATTTTTGAAAAATGTAATAAGTTATATGCAATCTGAATATTGCAAACACCACTGTACTTGTACAAGTAAACTCCACTAGTTCCAATTTATTTAAATATGCTATTTAATCAGTCTGAAGATATAGTGCATGATTATAATATGTTAAGACCGAGTAAAGAACTATTAGAATATTAATAAACACTGTCTGGTTTTTTAAGACCCCACGTGTCCAAACAAATTTGATTCAGAATAATAGCATGTCAGATTACCATCAAATAATTCCAGATTATCAAAATTCTAATTTTTCCAAATGAAAGAATGCCGAAAATGATCAAAACACTTTCCAAACAGCAGACAGCCTTCTTTCATCATTTTTTTTTCCTAGTTTTATTTTTAGAACTTTGTATAACATCCGATTTTACAGAAAACAGCTCTTAATTTTTTTTCCTATTATACTTTCAAACCTGCAGTCTTGTACATACTTATTATAGGAATGACTCTAGATGTGATCATAAGAGTGCCAAATTCTCTGCAAATTAATAACACATTAAGATTATAACTTTTTATTTTTTCAAGCAACAATTTTTTTAGTGTAAAACTGGCAACTGTACATATAATATTCATTTATTAACATTTATGTGCTAATTAAAAAACTTTTAGTGTATCTCAAATTTTGTAATTAAAAACTTTGAAATACACTAAAAATCCTTGCACGAATATGGCCAGAGCTAGCAGTGATTCATTATATTAATTAATTAATAAATATTGATATTTAGCTTTCCTAGAAGTCATATTAAGCAGCTATTAAAACTTTGAAATTATAGAATGTATTCTTGTTATTAAGAATTTATGAATTTTTATCCCAACTTTTTTTAAACTAATTAAATATCAGAATGATAACTTCACATAAAAAATACAAATTCATTTTCTTGATGGCCTCATTTAATATAATACTAAACAAAATGCTAATTGGAACATTAAAACAAAGACTAATGACATTAAAGCTACATTATTTTTAAAATTTTAACTTTAAAAAGAATTTTAATTGGAAGAAGTAAAGAAAATTTACCTGTTCACATTGATCTAAATCAATCTTGCCTTTTAATTTTTTACGACTATCATCTGTGTAATACTCCAATACAAACTGACCAGGTAATTGACCAGAGTGTCTCAACACAAACCATCTCTGCCTCCATTTCTGAAATAAAATTTAATTCATTAATAACTAAATTTATTAAATCTATTAAAAAAAAAAGTTAAAAAGATTTATTCCTATCTTTTTTACTTACCAAAGTCAGATATTTTTATATTACTGTATATTAAAAGTATAAAAATTTGATAAAACTAATTTAATTAAATTTCATTTATAAAATTAGAATCTAAACTTTGGTCATTACACAAATGTAAGTTGTTTTCCTTAATAAGAAATTAAGGAAACAATATTCTTTCTTTCAGGAATCTAATTCAACAGTTTATTAAGCTCTTTGAAGGCTTACATAATATTACAAAAAAGGCATATTGCATCATTGGCAAATTTGTATTTAATACTTCTATAATTGAAGATTTCTTTTGCAATACAGACGCTCCTCAACTTATGATGTTTCAATATACAATATTTCACATATACAATGGCCAAGGTGAGTGAAGTGGAAGCACAGGAGAGCAGTTAGAATTTGAATTTAAGCTGCTCCACCCATGCATTAATGATCTTTCTTGAGATTTTTTTTATATGTACCATATTGTATCTTTTTGTTTTACACTACACCCACTATGTCTGCAAAATGCCCCGCTGTGTCTCCTGCTACTGGTGAGAAGAGGAAGGCTATTACTTTCAATGAAAAACTTAGGATATCCTATTTTATTTAATCTATTTATTTTTATTTTCAACTTGTGATATTTTTTACTTATGATGTATTTTTTTTTTAAACATAACCACATCGTAAATCAAGAAGAGACTGTATATAAATTATAATTTGAATGTAATAAAGATTAAACCCTGAAGTCAAACAAAGATTATTTAAGTTCAATTTAGTGGCATTGTTGTCTAATTTTTGTTTACATAATCACAAAAAGTCCATCATTTAGGTAAGCAATACAGTAATACCCCGAACTTACGTGATAGGTGGGACTGAGTGATAACCATGTAAGTTGAATTTGCGTAAGTCAGGGTATAATTTCGCATATAAATACATGCAAATAATTTTTAATTGGGGCCGGAGACTAAAGAAAACAATAATTTAAAAAAATGTTTAATAAAATCTTAGATAATGCATATGTATAACAAATTATATTATTATACAATTTTTCACATTTACTTGATTATCACACTATAATTTTAACATTGTTTCCATCTCAGGGATAATACCATAACGTTTACGAATGATGCTTGAATTTGAAGATTGAGCATTTTTTACAGCTTAGAGAATTTTTCTTTACCTTTTATAATTGTTCTGACCGTCGATTCTGGTAGATCAAACTTCTTTGCCAATTCACAAATTTTCATTTTTGTATCCAAGTCTTTAATAATGTTAACTTTACATTCCAAAGATAAAGTTTTTCTTTTCTTGTTTGATGCAGAACAATTAGTTTTACTTCGTTTGGATGACATAGTAGAGCCTCTCAAATCTCCGTAGATATAACAAACACAGAAATAAATAACACAAAACAAATTGTAGCTATAAGTCGATTACGCGCAACACGTCCGAACAAGAAGCCGAACAACAGTGTGGGGGAATGAGTAATCAAGAGTTGCCTGGCGTTCAAACAAAAGAGGTATCGACGAGATTTGAAAATCGCACAACTCCGGGTTCACGTAAGTCGAGGTATTACTGTATACTGAATTTGCCACTCCACTAAATTTATATTCAGTAAGTCATTAAGTATCCACAAGTTTCCAGAGAAGGTTCATGTATTTTCCCATATTGTAGTGCCTGGGTCGCACTGCCATTAAGACACTGCAAGAACTACAAAACTGCAAAATCATATAATTGAGAATATAATTTATTTTGGAATTATTAATAGAAATTCATTCATAACATCCAGTTTGTTAGTAATTGTAAGGGTTTTTACATTTTAAATTATAAAGAGAGTATTTTCAATCATTTTTATGCAAGTGTAAATTTTTTCTAACAAAGAAAACAAGCATGCTATATGTATCACGGGAAAATATCTTTTAAACAGAGATTGCATTAAACAAACGAGGATACTGAGGGATTCCTCCAAAAATTCCCCCAAAGAGAAATGTCTGAAGTCAATACTATACGTGGGGCCCCTTAATTGAAATTTTCCTGGACCCCACGAAGCTATAAAGTGAGACTGAAATAGTTTGTCATTACTGCACACCCAGTTTCATTCAAATCTGGTTGGACAAAAATAGGAATTTAAATTATTAAAATTCACAACAGTTTTAAAATATAAATTCCATTCTAACTTAATAAGTTACACATGTTTAAAATGTAATTCCAGATAATTGTATTTACAACAAAATGATTTGTAAACTAAATAAAAGATAAGTATAAAAAGTTAAACATAAAGTTAATTAAGAATCAATGGAAAAGAAAAACAAAGATAACATTTAATTGCTATTTTCTAGGGAATCCCTTACAAATTTTAATGTAAAACATATCAAATATTTTAAAGAATATATATTAATACACATCTTATACACCTTTACATTCTGCAACTAATTACAGCTTTTAAAATTATACTTAAAAAAAAAAAATCCCCAAATTTATTCACGTGGGTAGTTTATTTCAAAACTTGCATATCTTAATTATCTAATAGGAAAAGTATTAAAATATATCTATAATTTTTCATCATTAACTGATGTCAAATTTCATCAACAGCTGTCGCAGGTCGATGTCAGTGTGCAGACTGGCACCAACAGATTGTTCTACAAGTTGATGCTTCAATAAAACTAAAAAAAGGGGGGTAGAACCGATATAGTCATTTAATTTATTTAATAAATGACTTGGTTCGTTTTTTACAATACATTTATTTTCCTTACAGAAAGAAAACTAAACTAGCAAGTATATAATTTATAATAACGTTAAATCTGTTGGGCAAGCCAATCCTTTATGTTTTAAACAAGGTAATGCCTCATAAAATTGCTGTACTTTAAGAGAATTATTTAAAGGATTTTATTTTCTGTTTTCACTTATTTTTATCTTTATTTACTTGCAGTTTAATGTTCTCCATTCGTGGAATTTCTAACTGAAGATAAACTGTTAAGAAATGGTGAGAGAGTGTATATAAACTTTGAGTTTTTTCCCTCCCCTTTTAATGAACTTAGATGCTATAAATATAAAACAGCAGTCGATCCGATGAATCATAGGAAAAGAAAGAAAACATTTTGTTTAGGTAGTGTGCAAATGATGATTCATGGAGCAAAATTACCCACGAATTTTTAATAAATTTCTTGCAGCAATATTAGAAATTCATAACGAAGATCATCATTAAAATTTACGTAATTTTAAAATAAGCAGAAAATGTATTTATTAAAACATATACGCCGATTCCAGAAATAAACTCAATTTATTTTCGGCGAATTCCCAGAAAGGAAACGTCATGTCTCTCATTCCGTAATGGGAATAATTTAACCCGAAACATCGAAATATTAACATGTGAATCGCGGTTAAACGAATTTTTATTCGAAATAAATTAACGTATCCATTAAACAAACCAGAAACCTTTCAACTTTAATCTTCCAATCGTGCGATAGCCTGAGGCTACTATATCGGTTATTTCCTGTTTCCTCAACAGTTAGAAATTCGTGTCACAAATAGATAAACACATCACATCAGATACCAGAATTTTTAATAAAATCATTCCATTGAAAACGTTATAAATTTTAATACGTCACGAATAAATTAAACTTTTATTATAATGAATTAAACATTAACTAGTGTGACTGCTATGTAAAAGCTGGATGAAAAAAAAAGAAGAAGAAAAACAAACACCCAAATACATAATCAAAATTTTAAATTATTTCCTATGTTATAGCTACGTTTCCTGGCCAGTTAGTTTCCTGTGGTTTTATGAAAAATTTCCATGTCTATTTTCTATAACTTTAACCTTCATGACGTCAGTTATTTACTGACTCATCGTTTGTCGAGACATTAGTAATCTTTGCCTAACACGCGTGAGGTATGTTTATAACTAGATACTGTACTACAGGAAATTGTGTGTATGACGTCTGACTACTTTTTTTTTCCTATTAAATATTGCGTAATTTAAATCGATTATGATAAAAATATTCGGCTGTGATAATTTTATAAAAGACGTTTAAAAATTAAATAAAAGGATGGACTTTACTACAGAAATTAAAGACGAACAGATGTATCTTGAATCTGTATACATTGTGTGTGTTTTTAATTTGTAAATATATGCAAATCAGTTAATAAAGAAAAAATTTCAAAGTTCATCCTCTTATCAAGAAGGTCAACTACTTTATGTCCGGGAGGAGAATTTTTCCGTCTACAACAGTAGTTTATGTACTGTACCAGGCAATGAAATCGTGGCATTATGTATTAGAGCAGTTCTGAAAAGTTTGGATGCATTTAATGGTATTGTCTTCGAATGCATTAAAAACAAACTTTCTTCTTATATACATAAATAATATAAAGGAATTTTTCACTGCTGTTACTATTTATGTATTTATTAATAAACTGAATTCAATGATGACCACATCCGATGATAGTGTCATAAATTAAGGAAGAAATAACCATTTAGCTTTATAACAGCTGAAGAGAAGAAAAAAATCTTTGCTAAACGGAGCCAGATATACTTGAAACGACAGTCGTTTCAAATTTGGAGTAAACTGTAGCGAAATTATCGTCTATTTTTATCTTAAACAGCAAGAATAACGCAGTTTTCTGTTTTCTAACACCGTACATCGCACTTCCTGCCATTATCCGACGAAGTATGAAAAGAAACGTTAGATGAAATGACCCAAAACAATTATTATTTGCAATCACCTGTCACCATAACAAAAGTGAGGCAATTATTATTTGTAAATGACAATACGTTAGTAAATGCAGATTTCGCAGCCATGCATCGGACGAGCTATCAACGTTACCATTTTTGATGCTGAAGGTAAAAATAGAGCCATTTCTTAGCAATATTAATTCAAAACTTGTTTTATGCATAACTGATGACACAAGTTTAAATCTTTTGAACCAATTCAAATTTTTTCTGCGT